TGGGAGGGACGCAGCCGCTCGCAGCGCAAGGCAGAGGAGATGTGGGGAGTGCAGGTGCAGGCGACGGAAGCATCTCTGACCTCTCGCCACCCCTGCCCCAGGTCCCCCATCAGCAGCCTGCCCACCCTCTTCGACCAGACCGTGTCCTGCAGCAGCAGCGGGCAGCTGGAGAATGTTCCCCAGGCCACCCCGAACATCGAGCAGCTCCTGGAGAAGCAGGGCAACGGGGAAGCCGGCGTGAACAGTGAGTCACTCGGGGCATGGGCTGCAGGAGGAGAGGTCCTTCTGCATGTTTGCGTGGGAGCCCGCTCGGAGTTTGCGCACAGGCGAAGGAGCCGGGTGGGGGACAAAGCCCAGTCTGTGCCATGGGGGAGTATCTGGCAGCGGGGCTGTGAGCTGGGAGCAGTCTCCTCCCTCGGTGTGGTCTAATCACGGTATCTCCTGTGGATCCCCTTCTTCTCTTTCTGCCGTCCGCCATTTCTCCCCTGACCCTGTCCCCCTTCCCCTTTCTGTTCCCTGCAGTTGTAGAAATGCTCAAAGCCCTGCACTCGCTGCAGAAGGAGAACCAGCGGCTCCAGGAGCAGATCATGACGCTGACGGCCAAGAAGGAGCGTTTGCAGCTCCTCAACGTCCAGCTCTCCGTCCCGTTCCCCGTGGTGACCAGCAGCAATGGCCCAGGCAGCCAGGCCCAGTACATCCTGCCTCCCAACGGTGAGGGGACCGGCGGGAAGCATCGCCCTGCGCCCTTCCGCAGTGGTGCCCTGGGGTGGGCAGGAGGAGGGGGTCGCAGTGGGGAGGATCTGACCCATTTATCGCTCTGTAGCTGCTGGCAGTGTGCACTGTCACTTGCTATTGCTGTGGCAACGCCAGGCTCCACCCCTGACTCTGCGTCCTCACTTCTTTCCTCCGTGCAGTCTGCAACAACGATTCCCTGAGCATCAGCAAGAGCCCCCCGTGCAAGAACAGCTTTGGGATCGAGAACTCGCTGTCCACTTCCTCTGAGGTACACTGGCCACCGCATCCGCCAGCCAGCTGGGGCAGGGACCTGGGGAGGGAGCAGAGCAGTGCAGGCCCAGCGCTCTGACTTGATGTCCAGCTCGTAAAGCCTTGTAGCCCAGGCCCAGAAAGCAGGTTTCTATCTCTGGAGTACCCGTTCTTCAGTTCATCTCAGCACTGAGAGTCTGAGTAGAGTGGCTGAGGCTGCAAGCGTGAGGTGAGAATGCTTCTGGCTGCACTTCTAGAGATCCAGCAAAGCATGCCTGAGTTCTGGGACCCCTCTGAGCATACACCTGCACTTGCACTCACAGCCCCGCTTCCCACCTCCGGCTCCTGCCCGAAGCACCCTTGGAGCTGAGCTGACCTTTCACAAGCTGCCCCAGTCCGATGCTCTTATGTCCGTTTCTCCCCCAGGACCCTCATTCAGGTTGCCCCAGCAGGAGCAGCTCCTCCCTGTCCTTCCACAGCACTCCTCCACCCCTGCCCATGCTGCAGCAGAGTCCTGCCTCGCTACCCCTGCCCGGGGTGCAGCAGGTGAATGGCCTGGCCAGGGTGGCAGGCAGGGGGCTGGGGGGAGGCAGCCCCATCAACGGGATCCTGGGGAATCTGAACGGAGCTCAGGCCGCCCAGCCTCCGAGCGCGCTGACGCAGGCGAGCGGGCCGCCGACCCTGCAGCTCTCCACCAGCCTGAGCAGGTGAGGATGGGGAGCTCGCGGGGACAGCCCTGCCCTCTCCAGCAGCAGCTTAGCACCGGGAGGGAGGGAGGGAAGTCCTGTGTGTGCAGGACCAAGACGGGCTGCGCTGACGTTCCCTGCCCTGCTCCCCTTGCAGCGTGCCCAGCCTGAGTCCCCTGACAGAGCAGCAGCGGCACGTCTTGCACCAACACGAACAACAGCTCCAGCAGCCCCAGCAGCTCCTGACTTCCCAGCCACTTAATCCGGTAAGTGTGCCTGCTGGCACCTTTTATCTGATGAGCCGTTTAATGGGAACGCCTCAGAGCAGAGAGCAGCACTTCGGGCTCCCTCCTTCATGTGAATCCCCTGCCCTGTGGGGCAAGAGTCGTGTGCCTTGGCCTTGGCTCCGGGCTGCGGTGGGTGGAGTGAGGAGAAAAGCGTTAGGCAGGAAGGTGCAGCACCTCCTGGACGGAGGGACATGGGGATTTGAACTTTTTCCGTACAAAGGAAAAAAAATTAATTTTTCCACATGCTGAGGGTGTGAGAACGTGGTAACGCTAAGCCACTGCAAAATGAGGAGTGCTGTTCCCTCCTCCAGCCATCTTCGAATGCAAATCAGGTCTGCTCCTGCTGCCACGAGCACGCTGGTCTCTGGGCTTGCAGATGTGCTGATGCCCACAGGAGAAGAGGAACTTGCTTGAGGACGCTTTTTGAGTTTAGAAAGAGATAAAAGCACCAAGTTGCTTAGTCCTAAGGCGGGTGGGCTGTTCTGGGGTGCGTTGACATGGCAAACTGGAGATGCCAGTGGGACTCGTAAAGCGTAGGTGGCTGAGGACTTCAGGGTCAGAAAAAGGACCAGGCAGCTGTTCTGAGGAGCTTGGCTCGCTGCCTGCATCCTCTTGGGTAAAGCAGCAGCCCCGTCGCAGGCTGCTGTGGGAAGGGCTGCATGGGTAGATGGTAAACAAACCCCCGAGTGTGTCCGAACCGCGTTCACTTGCCCTGCAGAAACCTCTGCGTGTCCCTCCCCTGCGGTGGAGTTGCACGGCAGTGCTCACAGTTCCCGTCAATGAAGCTGTGCTCATTTAGATCTCCCGTGAACTTGGCCCGTTGCTTTGGATAGATTTCTGGGTCAGGCTATTTATAACCCAGGAAAAGCAAATTTCAAAGGGCTTCTCTTTCCAGCAGCTGATGTCACCGTGTCATCAGCTGCATCCCTGTGGGTACGGGAACAATGTCAGCTCTCAGCCTGCCGCATCGGTCGATGGTTGCTATAGTGATTCCCGCAGTTGGGTTGGATTCGAGGGCGTCCCTCTGGGTGCAGGTGAGCCGTGGCCCTCGTCCCTCCGGGTCCGGCTCACCCAGCCTCACCCTGCGGGTCTGGGCTGAGCTGTGAAGTGGGATGGGCTGGGGAAAGGAAATTTGCAGCCAATCTAGAAATTCATAATAGTGAATGCCACAGACTTAGAATCCGTGGGGCAATTGATTGGGAAGAGCTGCGTAGATTTGGGTGCCTGCACGTGTCTTAGGGAGGGTTGGCTAATCCGACGCTGCAGGAAGCAGTGGGGTTGGAAAGGTCATAAGCACAGGCTGTTAACGAACAGGAGACAGACTGTTCCTGTCACTACCTGTAGAGATGTGATCAAGGGGACTTTCTCCCTGTCCCCAGCAGCATTGCCTGGGATGGAGTGTGCCCGTGTGGCTCCTGGCTCCTTTGTATTCAGCGTCACCTCTTCCTGAGCGCTTTGTCCCTCCTCTGATGGCTCTTCCTTGCCCTTCTCTGCAGGAGCAGCAGGCCCTGGTGTTCCAGATGATGCAGCAGATCCAGCAGAAGAGGGAGCTGCAGCGGCTGCAGAGGAAGAGCTCGTCCCAGCTGTCCATGAGCAGCCTCCTGGCAGCCACCTCCGCGCCCCTGCACTCCAGCACCAGCGCCCTGATGACCTCGGCCCCTCAGCCGCCCCCCAGCAGCAGCTCCCTCCTGGCCTCCCTCTCCCCCCAGCAGCTCAACCCTAGCAATGCCCTCATGGCTCCCCAGGCCACCCCACCGCTCAGCGCTCCAGGGAACAGCCTCCTGGCTTCGGGGACAGGCATCCCACCCGTCCTTACAGCACAGACTAACCCGTTTCTCAACCTGCAGGCTGATGGCAACACCCCAAAAGGAACGGTGCGTATGCTGCTAGCACTACCCTAACCCCACTGAGCTCGTGGTGCTGGGTGCTGTGCAGACAGTCTGCGCTACAGTTAACTTGGGGGAGCCAGGGCACCGCGTAGGCAACAGAGCCAGAATGCTCCAAAGGCTTTGCTGCATCCCTGACTAGCCAGTGTCACGTCCTGATCCCACCTCCAAGGACTTCTGTAGGCCCAGACAGGGTCGTGGGTAGGCCCAGAGGCGCCCGAGGTGCCCTTCCACACGTGTGTGCAGACACGTGCCAGACCTGCTGCGGAAGCCGGGCAGAGACGGGCCGTAGATTTGTCTCCGTTAACCCTGAGACTTGGATGGGACAATGTTCCCCCGGCAGTGCTGGCCCTACTGGAGCCTCCTGATGAAATACGAAGGTGACTGCAGGTTGAAGCCCAGGGTTTAGGAGGAATCTTACACCCAAGAGGAGAGGTTGCGAAGAGGTTTACGGCCTTGCTGTAAAGCAGCCTTGTACTTGAACACCAGTGTCTAGGGACTGGTGGTGTGATACTTCCATTTCTCCTCCATCCCTCCCCTGGCCTGTACCTGTACCCAGAAGGTCCAGCCCTGGCTGGAAACATTTAGGAGCCAGAGGCCAGGGTCGAGGGGCCGGTTCGGTCTGGACCAGGCAGAGGGGAAACCTGAGGCTCCCGTGTCTCCGCTGATCTCGGCGGAGCCTGAGAGGTTGCAGTGAGCAGGGCCAGCTTGGCAGCACAGCGGGGCTTTCTGCTTCTGCCCCGTCGTGTTGCTGCCCGTCCGGTACTGATACCTGTCTCCTCTGCGTCTCTTTTTCTGTTTGTTTTTTAAAGAGCATGAATGAAAAGGGAGTTCCTCTTACCCAGGACAAGGGCTAAGCTCCCCCCTCACCCTGAACAAACCAGCAGCCAACTCCTCTCAGCCAGGGGAATGTGGCTTTCAGCAACCTTGATACTGTTAGAGCAATGAGCACAAGGCTTCCGAGAAGCATTTCCTGCCGCTGGGCAATGCCGAGAGGTGCTTTGGAAGACGGTACGTCTCTCACCAAGCCCTGGCATCGGGAGGAGGGAAGGTGGGGGGCTGCCTGCCGCCCTGGGCCGTGCCACACATGCTCCAAGCGAAGCAGAGCGGAGGAGAGCGTTCACACCAGATGCCTGCCAGTCTCCTCCCTGCCGTGAGTGCGAGCGTGTGTTGACGCGTGCGTAGGCCGCCGGGCTGAGGCACTAGAGACTGTCGAGCATCCTTGGCCAAGACCTCGGCGGGGGGAGGCCCCTCTGCTGAGGACTCCTCTCTGCACCGTGCAGAGGAATCTGGCCGTGCCCACGGAGGCAGGACTGGATGTGACGCAGCTGGGGAAGCGGGAAGTGGAGGCAGTGCCTGCGTGGTCTGCTTCACCCGGATGGGGAGGTTAAGAAGAAGTCCTGTAGCTGAGATTCCTCACCTGCTTTTCATCTGCTGGGCTCTTAGGATGCTCTTCTCTCTATAGCCATCATATGAAGCCCCGACACCTCAGCTGGATCCAAACCCAGCCTGAAAAGACACAAGTGGTGGAGTGATGGGGAAGGACTGGTGCTTGGGGAGGAGGTGAAAGCCACCTGCTTCTTTAGAGGACATCATTGCCACATCTGCTCTGCCAGCTGCTGTCGGCTCAGTGCTGCACTTCTCATGTGAAAAGCACACTCCTGCTCCTCGTGCCGTCTCTTTCCTTCCAAGATTTCCAAAGGCTGAAACTCAGCTTGCAGAAAGGGGCTGTAGCCAGTATTACCTGTGTCGTAGCCAACTTCAGGAGGCGCGTTTGAACTTGGCAGTTGTTTTCCAGGCCTAATCTGGGAGATGGAAGTGTGTGTGGGGAAGAGAGGGTCGCAAATCCGGTACCCATTCTTTCTTACCCACTGCAAATCACTCCAGTTTGGCAAACCCACGTTCTTCCACTGGTCTTGGGCACTTGAGAAAAGGGATTGCCAAGCAATGGGACAATTACCAGTCTCCTGAGCTAGGACATCGGACCCTGCGTTGTTCTCCACCTTTTGACCTTAACTCCGTCTTGCAGCCTGGAACCTCAGCGAAGAACTCGCCTTCCTCCCAGCCTGGGTGCGATGGATTGATTGAAGGAGAGGTGGGGCAGCTCTGGGGGAAGGGGAGCGTCTACGTCAAACGTACAAGTGCCCCTTCTTTTCCTCATCCCCTGGGTAAATCCAGAGCTCCTGGGGGCAGGCGGGAAGACTCCAGCGAACAGAAACTCTGAGGGTCTTACAAAAAAAAATGTTGTCAGACCTTAATGGATCTTTTCAGCACATTCCCACTGCCCCTAACTAGTTTGCACTATTCAAATTTGTCAGCAGTGGGTCTGTGCTGATAGTACTAGAAAAGCTCGTTATAGGCGAAACTCATCTGCTAAATATCTTTCTTCCTTTTATTTTATTTCTTTTTTTGTTTGTTTGTTTGTTTGTTCGGAAGATTGTCACCACAATGGTTGAATAAGGCTAAAAGGAGAGAAAATACCTTTCTGATCTCGGCCTCTAGTTCTGTGAACTGGGCAGAACACTGCTGTCTGCTCAGAAATATATATATATTATATATATATAATTTTTTTTATAAAGAAAAGCTAATGTTTTAACAAGGTTAAGAAGCTATTGGAAAGATGGAGATGGCAGCTAAAAGTGAAAATGCAGGAAAAAAGGAAAAAAAAAAAAAAAAACCAACAGGGAGAAGGATGGGTAACACACAGCAGGACACTGCGACAGTGAGAGGACAGAATACACAGAGCAAGGCAGAGGAATGAAGAGAGAAAAAAAAAAAAAAAACCCCCCAGACAAC